GAGTGACCGCAGATGGATGCCGCCGGCGACAGCTTGCCGGGGTACGCGGCCGCCACCACTTCCGGCAGCTCGGCCTTGACGTAGGAGTACATCTGGTAGTGGTCGCGCCACTTGGGCTGCGTGGCGTCCACGTAGAAGCCGGCGCCCGAGCCAAAGTCGTACCTCGCGGCGCGGTGGGCGGCAGTGTGAACGAGCGGGCGGCGGCGGCGGCGCTGCGGGCGGCGTGGCGTGGTCGCACGAGTCGTCCGCGCCGTCAATCTGCACGCCGCGAGGTGAGGTGTCGGGCATGACGACACACAGGCCGAGCTGCGACGCGGCGCGCGCGAAACCGCTCTTCTGGTGGAAGTTCTCGTCGGTGCACGTCAGGCCGGAGAGCCAGTACACCACCGGCACAGGCGCCGCGGCGGCCTGCGGCGGCATGTAGACCGCGAAAGTCATGTCGCACGCGCAGGCGCTCGAGCGATGGGTCAGCCGCTGCAGGAGCCCGCCGAAGACCTTGACGGAGGACTTGACCGTGGCAGCCATTTTGCAAGTGCTCCCGGAGGCGCCGACGGCACGAATTTTTTTGAGCTAGACTTCGTTGTTAATAGGAACAAGCGAAGGCACACACGACATGACGCCAAACACACGATTGCACGCACCGCACCGCATCTCGCACCCGCGCCCGCCGCCCCCCCGACCCCCGCCCCGCCTAAGTGGGAAAGAGACGAGGGGATGGAACAGCCCGAAGGAGGAAGCCCAAACACGTATGGGAGGGTTCAATGATGCGCCACGCTGCCCGGCGTTTCTCACTTTCCGGGACAGCCCCGCCCTTGTGAGGCAGGAAAGTGACGGCTACCCCGTACGCCCTGCGGCCTGCTACTCCCTCGCCGACCGCCCATCCCCCCTCCTCGTTCCCCCCCCGGCGAGCCGATGATCGTCGAGCCTCTGCCCCGCACGCCCCCGAGCCCCCCCCCCCCCCCCCAGAAAACTTGAGGCTGAGTTGTCATCCTCTGGCCTCGGGCCGCCGACATGTTACCCTCGAGGTGTTTCGGCTCAGAAGCATATCGTGAGTGCGGCCCCCCCCTTCGCTGAGGCCGTGGGTGCCTCGAAATGAAGTGCCACGTTCGTACCG